CATGTTAGAATATATTCATTAGTTTACTAATCAGTCATCTAAATATGATGATTTTATGTACTAGCCATGGCCCATGAGAAATAGTGCCATAATGGGATTAAACAATGAACATAATATAAATTGAAATTAGACTTATTAGGCCGTCAGATGTATAGACAGGTGATGGCCACAAAGCGGTATACACTATAATAATGAATTGATGTTAGGGGTGATTAGTTCCTACAACGAACACTTTGGTTTATTATTAAATTCACCTATGTTACTTAGATATAGGGGAACCAAGCTATAGCGATTAGAGACGTATAGTATCATTAAGCGTTTTTATGAAATCTATGCCAGGTGCAAATAATTTTAAATTAATACATAAACACATGTTATAAAGTTGAGTCAAATAAAGGTATATATTTCTCACTAGGCACCTACTCATCTAGTAGTAAGGTGTAAGTATAAATACACAATATGATATATTTACTTAATTATACTTTAACATATTTTGTATTGCATTTTTAACATTCATATATTATAAATTACAATACTCGTTATTGCAGTTTATGTTAAACAGTTTTTATTAAGCGAATGGCTAGTGGAATAACATAATGTACAGTTGTAAAAATACAGTTTACAATAGAAGAATAAAATATGTCTTTTATAAATCATAATCTTACAATTTTATATTACGATAGATAGGTAGGTAGGTACACCAAATAATAATATTCAACTTAATAAAAGTAGACAGACTTATAATATATTAGATTAATATAGTGTCAAATAGGGTTCCAATTAATTTTATCGAACATTTTGATATTTTTCAGCCTAAATTTTAAGATCGGTACCTCTACTTACCTATAAAGGATAGAAATATAATACAATGCGAATAAAAAGAGAATTTCAGTTGATGAAAATAAGTATAAAATTCGACATATTAATGATAATATTATTATAGTCACGTCGGTACATCGCCGTTGGTCGTCATAAAAATGAAAAATTATTGCAATGTCATGTGAGATGTTCCGTATAAAAACGCTATTGTGTACATTAGTATTTTTTTTTATTATTATTATGCGCGTATTTTTTTCTGGCCCGTTTGGTTTTAATCATAAACAAACAATGGTCGAGTTGCGGGACAGAGTGAAAGGGTCGCTCGTTAAAGGCGGTCGTCCACTGGTGAAATGGACCGAAAGGGCCTTTAATTGACAAAGGCCACGACGCGTGTGGACTGGGGCTATTATTTCGGGCCGTGCGTACGGCAGGAAACCGTACGCCGCCGACTTTCCATTCCGAAACGGAAACCCATAGAGATTAGTCATGTTCGAAAACTCGTCGTCGCGGCAGTCGGCGAGTGGGCGCTGTATTTGGTGTGGGGTGCCGAAGGAGTCGGGGGCAGATAGTGGGCAAGAGTGAGCGTATTCAAAGACTGTATAACATTGCGGGGTGTGGGTGGTGGGTGGTAGCAGAGAAACGACATGTGATATGGTATCGACGACAGACAAAAGTAACCATACTACCATACGTACGCACTTCGATTTAATTCACTAGTAACAATTATAATTATTATTGTCATAAATTCTCTTTATTATGTAAAATAACGTTCAACTATAGAGGGGTGACGTATATTATCGTTGTGATTTGCGACAATGGAGTACTGCACGTGTTTCAAATAATAACTTTCCAAAGTTCGAGTCTCAGTTGTTGAAAATGTATATTTTAAACATCATTATAACAATTTTAATTTCACCATCATTTTTGAAATATAGTTTACCATATAATTAAGATAATTATTAGTTGTACTGTGCGTAATACGCACAATATTGTTTTCTTTTATATATATTTTTTTAATTCAATAGTTAAAAGAAAAAACTGTATGGATTCCAGGGATAATTGATACAATTTATTAATATTACATTTATACATTTAACACGGATTGAAGAAATTGATTAATTATGAACATATGAGCTGTGAATATTGAACGTGTATTGGCTAGGTAAATATAAAATATGACTAAACGTGTGAGCTCAATTTCCCGCCCGTAGCTGGTGGTGCACTATTAGAAAAATAAATAAAACTACCATTATTTACTAGTTGGTGGGTTTTCTCGGGTTCGATTACATATCTTGAGTCAAATGTTTTATGGTGCCGAGGTTAACGTGTGCGTGGTGAAGGGTGAAGGGTGGATACGAATGAAAGCTTCGAGACAAAGCGCTCTGGGTAAACAAAAAAAAATAAAAATAAAAATGTATATAATATTTTTATTTATTGCTAATAGGGATGGACTGCAGTCGTTTGGCGAGGGGGCCGGGGCCATTAATCATAACCGAGTTAACTGTGGCCCCCTCCCACTATGATATACAGACTCGCCTATGTGAAATTTTATATTGCATTGTTCGACTCGATGACTGTCACGAAGAGACACCTCGGCTTGGATATACGGTTTATTGCGAAAAAGGGATGTCAGTCACGCTATGTATATACGCTCTACAGTCAAACTCCACCACGCCAACACCCGTTCGAGTATAGGTAGGTACCGAAGTAAACACGATAATCAATGTTTATTTTTTCACCACTATTATATTATTATACCTACAGAAAACTGCCTATATATTTCGATTATATTAATGTATATTCGGCCTGCTGGGGCTGTCGGTGGAATAATAAGGGCAATTTTTTTCTCGCGTGTTTCTGTAACCCTGTAATTTTAAGTATATACAAATGAGTAAATACCACTCATAAATCTTACTTTAAACCAATCAAAAAAGTTGAGTGAATGACGAATGTAGTCGATTCTACACCTATTTTCTTAAAAATGTCATACAAGTATAGCTACACAGACGCACTGTACAGTTTGCATTACACTACATGCGTATCAAATATATTATATACAATATACATAATTATGTTTAAGAGCACATATTTTAATTTTGAAATTTTCTCTACTAGATAAGATAAGTTAATGTTTATTATAACTTTACATACCTACTAAAACATTACTAAAAGTACAAAATAATTTAAATTTTCAAGTTTAAGGAGTCCCAGTTTTTAAAAATAGCTGGGACGAAAAAGGATCTAGAAAAACAGGAAAGTTTATGTAAATTTTTGTTTTTGACAAAATAGTTTTTGTTTATCTATATTAAAATTCAAAAATAAAAAACAGCCGAACCTTAAAATGTCTAATAAAATATTTCTACTAGTATTTTTTGGACATGTTGATAAACGTTTTGTTTGTAAGTTGAAAAACTTGTAAATGTTATTGATAAATAGCTCATAACTCATAAGTTATTCGTACAGCACTACAGCAATTTACAATTTTTAATAGAAATGTCTAGTTCAAATTTTGACAAAATCGGATATTTAAACGAAGAATAATGATTTTGCTTCCAACAATTTTAGTTATTCTGTGTAATTGAAAAAAATATTAACTGTAGAGAGTATAATTTTTAGATAAAATTTAAGTCGCATTTGTATCATGATCTTTATTCATACTGTTGAATAATATTTACATTGGTATTTGCTATTGACTTTTAATAAGTTGATAACAAGAATATCTGCTAATAACTAATACAATAACTAATAATAATTAATTGTATAATAAGAATATATATAATATTATATCAACTATTATTATATAGGTAACATGTGCCATGATTTTGACAAAAATTTGATCGACCAACCGTATTAATAATAGAAAAATCAGTTAAGTACCTACTACTATTGATAAATTATAAAATTCAATTTTCTTTATTCAATGATAAGGTTTATCCCCAATAGAAAATTGCATTTTGTATAATATTGATTTTGTCTTGGATACAAATTAATAGTTCATTATCACAGGAGAAATAAAGATAACATATTTTGTAAATTCAATTGCTATTGCCTTGATGGATTATACTTCTCTGATTATGTTATTATATGTATATTACCTAAATATTTTACCAGATTAAAACTTAAATCCATCTCTGAAGGCTGGAAAGCCAAAATATGATGAACCAACTATCAACTACAACGAAGTGAACTTGAAGCTTTCCAGGGGCATTTTAATAATTAGAATATGTATCTACTGATTTCTATACCTATTACTATCTTGTATACATTTTGTGTTCAAACGAGTAGTTGTACGAAAAATAATCTGCGCTCTAAGGAATTGTAAAAATGTGGGTAGATAAGTTGTAAATTCAGTAAATTCGCTCTAACTTCAGGAGCATAGGATCGCCCATGTTTATAAACATTATATACATTATACTGTTGAAGTTTGGGACAAACAATGATAATCCATCCAATCACCGTTTTAGTTTACTTATTTTATCATCTTTTTTGAAGTTTTTTAAATATGCTCACGTGTAAGTGTCCCCAGTATGGTTGAAAATTAATTAAATATAATTGTGTTCTACGAGATATTCTTAACATGAGAATATAAAAAAAAGATTCATTGCTTGTGATTGTATACAAAGTTTATACACAAAGTTCAAAATATATAAAATAAAGATTTGTTGTAATAATATATGTATAGTAAATAGAGTAAATTATTCTGTATTTTAGCCATTAGGAGAAAATGTTCAACTTATTTTAAGTAATTTTGTGGAGTACAGAATTTGGTATTTTGTAGGTATATACTATGTGTCTATATACTAACTTATACTTATACTTTATATAGTCAATGTATCTATTTATGAACTGGTTTTCAAACTTAATAATACTAGTTATGTATATTTAAACATACAAATGATACAAATGATAAGAATGATACTGTAATATTTAATAATAATAATAACAATATTAATAGTATCAACTATTATTAGTTAGATGGTAGGTTACGATTTATGGGCACTCTTAGTTAATTGGGTAAATTGTATAATTACATTTCTTAATTTCTTAATATTACCCTCTTAACCAATGTTTATAATTATTTAAATATAGAAATTAAAATTATGAAATTATTTTTTTAATTATTTAAAAACAAAACCATTACTAATGAAATTAACGTTAATGCGAATAAATTAAATACATACCTGATTTAGATGACGATCTAAATGAATCTGATATGGAAGATGGCAAATACGACGATGATTTTCCTACAGAAGATAAACCTGAAGAAAGTATTGAAAGAAATATTTAATAAAACATTTTTTTACCAAACAAAGTAACTTCAGTTACAGAATGTAAGTGCGTTTACAAAATAGTATGTAATATGTGAGAATAGATTTTACTGAAGTAAGCTAATAAGAGGTACTCGGGGAATGCATATTGAGATAAGTAATGACTCATAAGTATAATGATTAATGATAATTTAATAATAAATTATTATTTTTTCAATTATTTTAATTTATAACTATTCTAAAACAGAACAGTATAACTGCGCCAATATACTTTATTATTTCAATAATTTTATGTTGGTGGTTGGTCTGCATTATGTATAAGTCAGTACTTATATCAATTAATAATGTAGTTACTATTTGGTCGCTTTACAAGCGTTTATTAAAATAATAAATGAATAGTTGTGTGTAGATAGAATAGCTACGATTCTAAATACACTTTTTTGTATTGTTGTTTAAAAATACATAGTGTATTACAGTAACAGTTGTAAATAAAATCGTAAAAGCATCTAGAAATATCTCAAATTATTTACGTAATGGTGTCTTTTTGAGTTTTTTACATAACATTTTTTAAACATCTCTTATTGTGTAAACGACTTAGAGAGTTAGAGCCTATACATAGTATATTATTATTAATAAGTACACAATTTGTGAAGTAAAAGCCGTAAGTAATTATAATAATAGTACATTTTTTTTTGACTTTATTCATCGTAATTAATGAAATAACCACATTGTTGTTTTCAACTATAATAACAATTTGTTCAATAATATTATAGTTATTAGTTATTCGTATTTTTTAAGCTTGTCGACTATTCGTTTTTGGTTATTATGCTTATTATTTATTATTGTTTTAACAATATTGTAAGTTTTATAAGTTTTAAAGTTATATGTGAATTTTGAGCTTCTTGTATAGTAGCTATTGTTAAACTTTTGACTTTGATGTTTATAGAAGTTTGAATAGTATTTTTGTTAAAAACGTGTGAAATCATCGAAAAAAAATGTTACAAAGAACCTAACAACGTTTCTCGGCTTTGTACTCTAATTCAATGCCAAACGGAAAAAAATCTATTAGATGTGAAGAAGAAAAACTCCCAAATAGGAATGATTGGTGAGGCGGTATGGGATGGCGGCCATTTGACTGACGACAGTATCCATGGTAACAGCATGTGACCCTCATACCGATGGGTTGACAGTTTTTCCCCCTTCCCGTAAAACTGTAAAAGCGAACCTTCGTCGGAGATAAACACGCTATCGTCAATATGGGGGGGGGGAGCGTAGCTCCCCCTTTCACCCGATGTCACAGCTATACATTTATAGTTTATACTAATTCAATATCGTACATATAAACATAACATATTATATTCAAGGGGGGGGGATATTATTTGTCTCCGCCCACAGATTATTATTTTTCAAATGTAATTTTTAACAATTTATAAGACATACCTATACTAGATTATTTGATAATGACGATGTTGTTTTGTGATTATATCGTATAGGTAAATAAAATTATAAATAAAACATGTTTTACTACATATAGGTATTTCAAATATCTATCATTAATTTTAGTTTATTTGCATCAAATGCTTTTTAAGATTATACTAAAATAAGCTTTCTTTTGTTTATTTATCATTCGCAGAAAAATGTAGGTATTATTGTTCAGTGTCTATGTTACAATTATGTATGCAATACTGTATGGCCTTTATCACCATATATATAGGTTATACACATATAATAAATGTATAAAACAAGTGATATTTAAGTTTCAGTATTTACTGTGAAAAAGTAATTATAAGCATGAGGTACTTTACTACTTTGTACAAATTAATGAATTTAGGTAGTAAAGTAGATGGTACAACGGTTTCTGGACTACGGAGTTTTCAATGTAAAACATGATTTGTGGGCTCCGGTGCTATTTATATAATAAATGAAACCCACCTCGCAAATCCATTGCACCTACATACTATAACACTAAATACTTAATTGGTACACCACTGCAGATTGCATACTAATTACGAAACTAATTAAAATTAAATTAATATAACACATCAACGGAATTAATCTATAATAAACACCATAATATGTATAATTTGCGATGACAGTATATAACAGTATAGGAAATGATACTGTTTAGTTACAAAATACTCCATAGCTATAATATATAATATCATTATATTATTGGTGGATAATAATAAGTAGTATGCAACTTTCCTATATTAATATTATAACTAATGTACTTATGTATCTATACTACACCCATATTATTAGTTACTTTATGCGTTCAAAGTATATAGATAGGAAATTGAGATAGTAGATACAATAGTTAAATAAAATTGTATTCTGTTCAAGTTATAATTGCGTTTTATAGTGTGTAGTGTGTACTGTGTAAATTATGTATATTTATATTAAGGTGAATTAAAGTACATGAATTATATTTTATATTTACGTTCACAAAATAACTATTATTTTCTACATGCATTTGTAAGATTAGGTAAGTACTATATAAGATATAATAAAAGTGTATTTTACCGTTTGAAGTAGACGATGGTAAATGCATCAATCCAGAGCTTTTATCGTATCTGCTATTTGATGAATCAATGTCTAGAAAAATAAACATTACATTTTACTTTAAATTTTTTAATAAGTGTGTAGAATATAGATGCATAGAAACATATATAATAGGTCTCGTTTACCTAAATTTTTTAAGTATGAAGATACAACGTACTACCTGTCTACCTATATATATATGGTCTATATAGTACACATACATGGGCGATGGGAGTCCATACGCACTATGGTGATTAGTTGTGGTGGCAATATTTTCTAAATAATAATAATTAACTGAAAAATTGCTTTATAGCTTGTAGGTATTTTCCTACTAAATAACTAGTGTTTTCTGTTGGCCTGCTATATAAAAATGTTCACATAAATATTAGGTTAGTATGAAATGTTGTCATATTGAACCAATTATTATTTTTTTTTTAATCAAAAGTATCTGGAAATTATAAACAAATCTCCGAGGCTCGGCCTTGAATAAAACTACGTTACGTGGGTATTTAGTAATAATTTACATGGCTAGGCATTGTATTAGTGGAACATTAACACGGAAAATTTCGTGATGTTTGCGTAGTTTTGAAATATTTTTTATTGTATTTTAACTTTTAAGTATAAAAGTATTTTTTATTTGTGGTCGAAAGACGATTATCTTGCTACCACAAAAATATAGCAGAAGTACAGAAAAAGTAGATCCCTCGGTACCCTTCAGTGGCCTACATGGTGGTCTACATTTGTATTTGTAACGATAAATCTAAAATAAGATACTATACATAAATATTTATTAGCAATACTAACGTCGTATCTAGATGTTTTATAAGAAAGCTGGAAATTACAAGCACTCATATAACCGAATTTATAAAATATTAAATCCCTGAATAATAAATTACTTTTTAAAACCATTCTCACATTAAAATATACAATAATAGAAGTTGATAGTTTGATGTAAACATTTTTGTGAAAATTATAAAACGGTTTATGTTGTATACTATAGTATGATAAGATATAATGTAGGTTATATACTATTGTATACTAAAAACATTATTACTTTTAAAAAATTAGTGTTCTGCGTTAAATTTATCACCCAGTGTATCGTATAACTGCTAAATATCTATAATATACATATTATACTGTAATTTTTAATACTCCTAAAATATAATTATATTCAAAATATGTTTGCTGTATTGTGATTAAAAAGTAATTATTCATCATTGAGTAATGACTATTAAATCAAAATACACGAACTATGTGTTGTTAAAAACATTAATAACATAGTTGTCGAGGGAAAATAATACGCTATAAGCCGAAACAAATATTATACAAGCCAATAAATCAAATACGGATATTGACTGGAAAATTAAATAGTATATTATCCATGCATTAGTTAATAATTTTAGAAATAAAACATATTTTTCACTAATTATTCAGAAGTATAACATTTTACGATAAAACATGAGCGTCTGGAAAATGTTTCTAAATAGATATTTTAATTTTATTTTGTTAAATAACATTTCTTTTGTGTCAAATAAAATGCACCAGGAAAGCTAACCGGAACACCGGAAAAGGATACTATCGTTGCGGCTCGTCGCCTGGAATCGGTATAAATGTTCCGGAGGTCTTCTTTTTATCATGTCTATGTTATTTTTTTTCTATATTTGTTTATAATGATAATTTTCCCTCTTTTTATGCGGGGTATCCATTATTTTCCGTTTACGTCAGCAAAATAATTATCTAAAAAGGTGTTGAAAAAAAAAAACAAAAGCGTTTACAAAAATAAAAGAAGAAAAATAAAACATTTGAAAGAAGAAGGATTCCATTTCCATCGTAGTTTCTTGAATTTATAACAAGAAATACTTTTTGCTTCAAGACATTATTCTTATTCACTTTAGTGATTATTACTAAATAAAATCCATAATCATATGACCCAAATAATACTTAAACTAATTAATGTACTTCATATAATGCGTGACTCTTGTTAGCAAGTATAAGTTATTAATATTAAATACCTAATTATATTTCTCTAAAAATAAAAAAATGTATTAAAAATTCAATATTAAGGTTACAACCTATTCAAAATGTTTCAACATGTATGGGTATTAAAAAAAAAAGATTGTTTGTATACCGTATGCGAGTACATACAATATACTGTTTAGGTAGGTACCTAAACAACAAAGTTTGGTATATTTAATATTCTGAGCGAAGTTTATATTTACTTACTGCTATTTTTCTTTTGTTAACCCAATTATTAAATTGAAGGCCCTAAAAAATCTGTTTTTATTATCTCTATAGTATACATGTCAGAAAATGACCATCGAAGGTTGATTTCGAAATGTTTTAGATAAAGGTATTTTAAGTTCTATCGACATATTTATGGATATTTATTTACTAATCGATAAAATATTTACTTAATTAACCAGATTTTTGATACATTTTGATTGAGTTAATCTTTCCTTTCCTGGAATTTCAATATTGTAATAGGTAATATAAAATATAAAAATATGAAATAACTATAGGTAATTGTTTAACTATAATAGTTTATACATGTAGTTAAAAAAAAATCTATAGATACACAAATATATAATATAATATGTGCGCTTTTGATAAAGTTCTTTTAAACGAGATTTTAAACGCTTCTAATTTTTCATCAAAACAACCTAAACGACTAACAAAAGTTAAGATACTTCTAGTGGTTTGATTTTAAAAATTACAGATGTTTGAATTGGTAAACAAGTTTACTTTGGGTCGGTAGGAGCAAATATTTTGTATTTTTATATTTTTTAATAAATCCATCATAAAAAATTGACAAATTTATAAAATGTAAAATATTTATTCTATGCAAAGTAAACTTATTTATCAATTCAATTATTTTTACATTTTTTTAACTGAAACGACTAGAAGTACCTTAATTTTTGTAAGTTGCACAGATCCTTCACACCCATAAATTGGTATTGAATATTTTGATCTAAAAACTAAATGGCATGTGCATGCGAGTGATTAGTGGGGAGTATACACACACTAATGATCATTTACTAGTTACTAAACACACAAAGACGAGAAAAGACAGCAAGGATAGGACAGAATTGCCTATACCGAACCCCTTAAAAATTGTCCGTTTGCAATTTCCTTAGTTAATTACCTACTTTTATAATTGAAACAATGATTCATACATTTAAATTTATCACGTAAATATCAGAGATGTATTATTATTTTACAAATTTAAAAAACAAACAAAAATATTAATTAAATTTAAATAAATATTCCATATAAGTATAATATAAGTTTAAATAGTTAAGGAAATTACCTATGTGGCTATGTATTATACTTAAGATTTATAAAAATTTAAAAAAAAATGATGAAGTACCTACCTATGTAAAATAGATAGTATATTATACCCATGTATTTTCAAGGAAGGAAATGATAATCATAAAAGGATTATGTGCGTGGTCTGATATGGTCGTCGGAAGTGGACTGCAATAATAAAAACCGATGTCCCTGGCATATCATTAAAAAGCATTTTCTTTTTTTCGTTTTATTCGTTTTATTCGTTTTCACTTTTTTTTATTTTTTTACTAAAAAGCCACAACGGATGTACTCAATTTTCATTCACTCTCCTCCCACACCCGAGCTCCCCATTACTATCTCTTTCCTATTCGTTCCCGAACGCCCGGTGAGAAAATATATGTATAATGTATATAATGTATTGTGTTTGAGCTCAGTGCAATTGTTCCAAAATGCGCCATTTTTTCTCAAAGGGCCAAAAGCACAAAACCACTGAAGGATGACGACCGAAAGTTGTTTCCATGGAAACTGTTTTCTTCCTTTTTAACTTTATTTTCTATAAAAACGAGTAACGACAATACATTATACTACGGTATACTGTTTGGAGATTTTCAACGATATATTATATTATTATTAGGTATACATAATTATTGCTATTTTTTTTTGGAAATTAATTTTTATTACACATGCATTTTAATTTGGTGTTTGTATATTGCTAAATTTACTCGTTGTTTTTAAACTTATTTCAAGAGTATTTAAAATAAACTATTTATTGAACTGTTGTTAGGTAAACTTACAATTGTTTCTTTTGTCAGTATTATTTTGTTCATCCTGGAATAAATCGAGTGAATTGGTAGTTGGATGAGTGGACACCGACGTCCTGGATGACGGTGTTGCTGGACAGAAAGGTGATGTACCTAGGTCACACGATGATAAGTAACTTCCGCGATCCTGTAATGCGGCTTTTGCCTTTTCTACTGACTGTTTGAGTTGCTCAAACGTGGAATTACAAGCAAACCTAATAAAAATCAAATTAAGAATTAATAACAAATTATATTATTATATAATACTTATATAGGTAGTTGATAGTTCAAATATCTCAAAATAAATAATTATATTTCAGATAATGCAAATATATTTACAATGATATTGTAGGTATTTACCCTAAAATACAATTGTTCATATAGAAATAGACGTTGTTACTTGTTGATACTTATTAATCAAAATAAATAAATTAAAAGGTTTTGGTTACCTATAAGCACAACTAGCCACTCCTACCGATGGCCATTGCGGAGTAGTAGCAGGAAGACAGTCGTTTTCTGTTTTTATGCTAGGCGGTGATGACATCGCCACCCTTTTCAGGTCTAACGCACTTTGATACGAACACGTACTTTCGTACATCATTGAGTATAACTGAAACAAACATAGAGCTGTGAGTATTAATATTATTATATTATAGTGTAGATTTAATTTTAACTATAGGTACGATACTATATGTATTTATTTTAACTAAACCGGTTTAATAACCCAAATACTTTTTCAATACGTTGATTAGACAATGTTAAAAGTAGTTTAGGTCATACTAAAGAAATACAAAACCAAATCCAAAAATAACACAAAATACGAAATAACCTCAAATTATAGTTTGAAACATGAATTTGAACAAAAAATAATACCTACTACCTATTGAAAATAAATTATTACCTAAGTGAAATAGAATTAAATAAATGTTGCTTAAAAGTGGATTGAGATTGATAAGTCAAAATATGAATGTTATATTTATTTGTTTAATACCTACTTACAAAATATGGTACCTATTTATGTTATTCATGAAATATGCCTTATCGCAGTTGATTATTTGTATTGGTTTTTTAATTTTTTTGTTAATAGGTAAATACCAGTTTGGGAATGGAATTTGGTAAATTAGATTTCTGATTAATTTTGAATCATATTCATTGTTATTAATTAAATAAACATGAATGTTGGGCTATTCGTATTACCCTGATAATATGGTTATTAAATGAGTTATTCACTAGCATAGCGATCGGTTAGGTAAAACCTGTATGGTTTATACAGGTTTATCTCTATACACGTATAAGCCTTTAAGTAAATATTATAGTACATTCTGAAAATACAAAAAGTGTAAAGGAAATAAGACACTAACAAAATATACATAAAGAACTGTAAATGTAATTTACAAAGGCGATGATGAATAATTTAAATCTTAAATGTGCAGGTGGAAACAATTGAACCCACATTTTAGTCATTCTATCTGGGACTTATAGTGCATAAAACGTAATAAAAATATGAGTATTTTTTAAAACAAAAATGAGTAGTATAATAGCTTTTTAAACATCGATAAAGAATCTTAAATAGTTTTTAATTAGTATTTATGATGACTGTAGTAATAAACATGGCAAAACCATAAATAATAATGTCATTCGCTCTACTCCCCTTTTTTCACTAACTGCCTTATTTGTAATTACAACTGTTTTAATACTATTTATGATACAACTAAAGAATCAAAACACGTACGCGTTTTTTACATGATAAAAAGGGTCAGTATATGCATATGTTTAGAGGGTTGTTTTGTCCTTACATGCCGTTATAATTTATTGGCTCGAGTTTTTGGAATAACTTTCCACACCATAACTTATTTTCCTGTGTGGTATATTTTAGTGTGCCGTTTTTTGTTTTTTTTTCAGAATTGCTGGGTAAACAACCATTTATATATATATATATTATTCAACTATAAATAATAAACGTGTGATTGCAGCTAAAGTAGCGCTAAATATTTTTTAACCCTATTTCCGACCTTTCATCGCCACCGACAGAATATAACTTGTTTCGACCACAACTTAGGGACACCCATTAGGAATACCCAACAACATATAGTTTTTTATCCGATTGTTGAATCAATATTTTCTTAAGTAATAGTAATATTGTAGTATGTAATATTTGTCTAAAACTAAAATATCTTTAAAAAAAATTATAAATATATAGGTATAGGTAAAGCTGCACAGCTATGTATTATACATTTATACGGTTGTTTTGTAAAAAAAAAAATGTCATTTGGATGGAAGTCAAACATATTTAATCAAAAGAAGACTCTACGACGTATTAGATTTGTCGTAAGTATATATTTATACTTCTAATTTCAACAAAATATGTTTATGATGTATGATGTTTCACGATACAATTGTTTTACAGCATGGTGCAAAATATAATTATAACCAATTTTTTAAGTTAGTAAAATAAATAACTCCACATGTTTGAATTATTTTTATAATTGTAACTAAACTAACTTAATGTTTTAAAACATTTTAAAATGAATTAATTATTTTGTTATCCGTTAATGAATGCAACCCCTAAATCCTCCATTAAAACTGACGCCTAGTGCATAATACTAGTACACCCTCCGCACGTGCAGTTTTTTGTGAGTGCTAATGCATAGGATGTGCTTTTAAACAAACGCAAAATACACAATAAGGGTTTATAATAATATGTATTGATGTTTGAATGTTTAAAACAATTGAAAAAAAATAGTATAAGTACTTTCTTTCACAAGACTCAAGTCCTAAAATAGTTTAAAATATAAAAGTATGTTTTCTCATTCTATAATTTAAAAATTTATGTTTAATATTTTAAAATGAAACCCACGATTAAAAAATGGTAAGGAACCTAATCTAAACATAATTCATTTTTGGAAATATGAGTGGAGTCAATGAGTGGCATAACCCATGTGCGAATCCAACCCAGTAAAATGTTGTTCCGTAACACCATACATATAAATTATAAACTTTAAATATTTATAAGTTATAATTAATGAAATATGAATTTAAAGCAAAAAATGTCAAAACTGAAGGATAAAAATATATATAAAAAACACCTTTGAATCACTCTCGTTTTATACTAGAGATACTTAATAACATAAATTATATGTATACTTCTACAATATGAAAGTAAATATATTCAAAATGTATTTATTTTTATAAAAGTATTTAGAACATAATAACATATGAATGCGGATTGATGCGGTAATTACAAATAAATTAGAAGAAGTGGTCCATTTAAATGACTGGAATTTATTTAAGTACTCCTAACTATAATGTAAAAGGTATTTACTTAAATATCATTCATATTTCATACTATATTATATTATGCTATTTTTGATTGATGGTATAATTTTAATTTATGATATACAAAGTAGGTACCTATATAATATTTCTATATTTAACAACTATATAACGTGTTTTTCAATTGTTTACAAATATAAATGTATATTATATGAACGCACATTCAACACATTCTCATAATATATAGTCATAAAATATACTTCTGCACTGTCATAATTAAAGTTAAATTCATCAGTACGTACAAGTATCGAATTTCCCATCTAAAATTGAGTATTGAAAATTAAAAATTGTGTACCTATCTATTTTTAACACATTTTTAATTCGACTTAAATTTGTTTTTTGTATCATTTTCACGAATAGAACATGTACATTAAACAAAAAAATCATACAATATAACACTATACGTAATATATATAACAGAAAAACAATATGATTTTGATAAATTATAAAATAAAGGGTATAATCAATTTGATTGACTGATGAAATCTATTTTAAAACTATTTTTCTGGCTTGATGACCATAATTATTACTGAATATGCGTTCACGTTGTTTTCCTCTCACCCTTGACTATTTTTGTAATCAATTACAGCTAATTCATATAATTTTATCGGTTACTTATTCCATTTTTTAACGTAATTCAGTTAAATTTTATCTCACAAACATATGCCGTAGAGTGCTGACCATTATATATTATGAGTGGTATTCTAGTTACGAAAAAAATCGTGTTAAAAATGTAAGACTAGTAGTTGACCGTGAATTGTGATAAGGAGTGGTTACGAATTTCCCCATAAAAATTAAACAAAAAATTTCGTCCCAGTTTAAGTAAAATAAAATATGACAACCCTACCATATATACTATAGATGTCACCAGCCTGGTAACTATTAGATCAGTAAAACATATATTATTAGATTTACACAGTCAACTCGTACGCATTTATACGAAGTTACCTTTATAATAGGTGTATATGAAATAGTTAACCAATACATTTTTTTTAATAACATACTCTATATGACTACAGATGAGGCGTAGACGTAATAAAATAATATCACACTAAAATATATTGCATGCTGTATACACTAAATATAGGTATAATAATATTATAGTTGTTTACCTGTGAAAAATCGTCCGAGAAAATATGATTTTCCGCTTAACGGGTAGCGGCTGTCACGCGATCTGAGCGACCGTCAACAAATGCATTTAAAAACAACGTCACGAGCAAAAAATCGCAAAGTCTACATCATCGTGGAATTGGAAATTCACTTATATCGTTGACGACGACGGTGGACGGTCATGCGCGATCCTCGGGGATCTAACGGACGAGGATGCTTGCGCGTGATAACGATGACGACAATAATTTTATAATTTATTGTATGCGTATAGACGATATAAGACTGTATAATAATAATGTTATCGTTGTTGTTATAATGATGGGCACCGGACCACCGTTTTTCGCACCGGACACGCCGTTCGGAAGTCTATTTTCCGGCGGTTCTCGTTTCGACGAAACCGCGACGCATTCGTTACCTGCAGCGCTGCACCAGTCGGATATCGCGCGAAGGGCCTAAAAACGGCGATCGTACGCAATAGACGAATACTATCGTAGAGTAGTTGTAGTTATATACGGAAAACGACCGCGGAATATATACAGCGCACTCGTCGCAGGCGTATCTCTCGTGATGAGTCGCGAATATCGCTGAGGTACCCGATAAGTAATATAATTACACTCGCGGACGACAATCGCTAATTATATTATATTTAATATTATAATTAATAATTTATTACTACGGTTACGTATATAATATATACCTACGGTCTGTCGCATGCCGTGTATGACGACGGGGTACAAAGCGTGCGCGTCCACTGTATATACGAGCACCCACACTGGCGGCGGTGGTCTGTGTACGCGATATCACACGAACTCGCGGGCCCGTACGACTATATAATGATCCGATAATTAAATTTAACGGGCGTCCCGGTGGCGCGCCCGGGGGGTGGGGAACGCCATCCGACAGCGATACGCCCGGCGGTTCCGATTGGTCGGAAACGGATGCGCGCACGCGCGTCGCGTCCTACGCCGAGTTTTCCGCCGACCCCCACAGCCGCCGCTGCCGACGCCGCCGCCGCCGGATGACATTGTCCTTCTTTTTCTGCTGCAGCTAGGGATTCTCCAGGCGGCGGCGGAGGCGGTGGTGACGCTCACTACCTACCCCCCTTCCATTCGTCGTGGAGTTTCCCACCCCCGAACCGATCTACCCATCTCGACCCATCGTCACGTCTATCCTACGACCCCTTACCGCCCGCCACTCACGCCACACCGCCGAAATAGGATCATCCGTACAAATGGCGCTCGATAAAGGGCCACCGTTATGATATTATTATTATTAAATGTATATTATATATTATTATTATCTGTATGTATCCGCAGCATCTCCAATAAGAGAAAATATCGTTCCGACGACGCGATATTCGCATCATATTCATATACATAAATAGAACGGCTGTATATACGTTTGCGGCGAATGGTCTTGTTGTATGATTCATATTTCATCATTCACGAGTAGGAGGTATAATATATATTACATTGTTATGTTATTTTAATGTTGATATCGGTATAAGAAATTAATCGTCTAGAAACAAAAATCTTTTGAAATCATATCGTGGGTATAGTAAAATGCTGCTAATTCCGTGGACAGCTATTAAATACATAGAAAAATTCTAAATATCTTATATTTAATTTCTCAATATAATAAAAATAAACAAACTAACTAAACATGCTAGAAACTACCGACTCGCTCTCTCTTAAATTTATACTGCTTCAAAGAGATGACACTTACATTTGCCGCCTTTTCAATAATATTACTAAAATACGAGTTGGCATTGAAAAAAAATTCGGGTAGTCTGGAGAATATAATATAACATTATATAGTAATCATACGTTTTCAGCATAAACAGTCAAGATGTTCTATATCAAACAATACCTATCTATATATAAATATCAATGGACTTAAAATAGATACCTATAATATTATATACAAGGTGATTCGCCAAGCATTCTCACTCCCCTTTTTTCTTCAATAAAGCAGTTATTATGTTGTTATTCGAAATTTAATTTTTTTAATTATTTAATAATAATTTACTTAAAGACCAAATTTTGAAATTTTTAAGATATTTCGTGCTACTTGTGCAGAGTAAAATATTTAGCTAATATTTTTTTCTGAAAATGTAGACGACAGACGTATCAGAATCAAAACTCTTTAAACGAGTAGTTTTTAAATTATTTATATTTGTGCACTAATATAATTCCATGATAATGCGTTTAGAACTTGGAAGCTATTATATATGGGGATTGGGGACTATGAGGACTATCGACTATGCCATTATGGAGATTTGGATATTTATTGATGATTAGTATTAATCGATCAATATTGTTAATTAGTTTAAACGATGAAAATATATAATAAAGACTTGATCCAATATTAAATATCCAGGTACATATTTTCATAATAACATATTTTATAAGGGCTCTTTAATATTTAAAAAATTTAATGACTGAAAAAATTCTAGTTTGAATTTTGAATTCAATGCATCAACATTTTCAGAAAACTATCCACTGAATAATTTATACTAAAAATCAGAGATTCCCATTCAAAAAACAAAAGTTTACATCAACACTAGACAAAAGAAAAATTAAGCTTTGTGGGATGCCTGGTGGATGTGAAACATCGAAATTATTTTGTATAGAAAATATGCATGAAAATTGAAAAGTTGGTTTATTAAAAGAAATAACAATGGCATGATTAAAAACAAAATATTCCGATTCGATTAAGAAAAATTATTCTTTTTTTTAAAGGCGCATTAAATGTTTCTCGCATTGCGAGTCTCACCTGCCGCATTATAGATGTTTCATATCAAAAACCTCAAAAATTTAAAAATATGGTTTTTAATGTTTTTATGTAAGAATAGGTATTTCAACATTTCAAAAAGTCAAATTTTGAATAACTGCATTATTGATGGAAAAAGGGGATATTGAAATAATGAGCATAATAGGTGAATGCTAGGTTTATTATATAATGGCGTTAAATTATTTATTAATAATATAATATACAGCATTATACAGTATATATATACAGCACTTTATAGCCACATTTTTTAATGAGCACCACTGTACAATAACTTTAATGTATTTTTGGAAAAGGAGTATAAATCACATATTTTCATACTCACTGACATTTCCTTCACAATATAAATAAACATCGAAATGAGATGTTCATATTATATTCATAAAATTTACATTTTTCCATCGTAGAACGTATTTTAAATCTGGCACGTGGAATCACAGCACTTGAAATAACAACAACGTTTTCACTGTGTTTTATAAATATAAAATAAGTTCTCCGTATGAGTGTAAATCACTTTATGAACAACAAAAAAAGTTAGATGTTTATGTTATTGGCGCGTTAATTGTCACTCTGTTCTTACTTTATAAAGACAGCGGACGCTACGCACTCGTCAACCGTTGTATATTATACATTATAACTTTATATTTTATATTCATTGTTTTAATATACTCATATAAACACTCGTGTACACTAGGTTATACAGTATCATGTTGACCACCATGAGCTCTTTTGTATGAGATCTCACAACACTTTATCCTGACCGCCACTGTATTTTTCATAAGTATTTCAAGACATGACTTAAATATGGTTTTGTCAGTTTAAGCAATAATATTGATTAAAAAAAACTAATAATGATGTTTGCAAACGTGTAACACCTGCACTGAAGTTGTCAACACTGTAAGTTTAAAATTCAACGAAATTAATAATCGTCGAATTGCTTTATCATTTTAATTATGAAATCTCAACATCTAGGTTTAGTAATTTTTTTTTAGATTAACTATTAGATTTCGTAGCAAAATGTATGTAACATAAAGTGTTTTTTACTATTTTTACTTTTTTTTTAGTGAAAAACCCCTTGGTGGTCAACAGCAGCAACATTTTATGAACGAGCAGAGTAGACAACATGAGTACTTATGACTTATGAGTTATGGTATGTATGAACAACAACAAATAATGGTAAACACAATATTATAATATATATTATTATTATAATGTATATACCTACATTATGCATATTATTAAATTATTACGTTATATTACTAAAAAGAAAAAAGGTTGAACTGGATACATGATACTGGGTAAGTACCTAGTTGTCGCCTATTGGTTAAGATAATTCGTCTCGATCTGTTTAGCTCGGCCTCATAGTAGGTCAAAGTGATGTTGATGGTGCTTATATTTCTATACTATAATCAACCACAATAAACACTTCACGAATATTGAACTATATTATTACTATCGTACCTATGCTTTTATTACACCATTAAATTATTTATTTTTAAAGCAATGATAAATTGTTGAATTAAACAAAACGGTTTAAATGAAACATAATGATATTATATTATATTAGTTTACTATTTAGGCATACATAGCCACATAGGTAATAATATATTATTTAGTAAATCAACCTACTCGTATAACCGTAACAACAAATCGTATAAAATCAAACTCGTAGAAGAATAAGTAGTCGTTATTTGTGAAAATTATCTCAATTTAACAAGGCATTTCAGCTTTCAACTTACAAACACCCATCATTTTTATCGTTTGTTTAGTTATTTTAGAATTGTAGACTAAAGTAATTATTATGCAGGTAGTAGTGCTGGTCATATGACATATATAAGGTGGGGGGGGGGATATGGCTAATTTTTCAACATGCACTATTTGATTATTAAAAATATAAATTATCATTATCATTTATGAGCTCTTAAATATTAAGTTTTTATCACTTTTTTGGTCATGGATGAATCTATCCTCCACACCCCCCCTGGTTTAACCCCCACTAATGGTTGATATGGTATCGAGTATCTTTTCTAAGCCCTAACTATTCACTCAGAATTTAAGACTCCTCATCGTAATCAAATATTATGTATACACACAGCCTAATAACCACGCATATTTTAATTAAAGTCGATGCCGTTTTCAAAAGTCTCCTTTGAGTTTTATTTTTACTCTCAACATGTTTCAAACTATACGTGAAACAATTTAGACCTCAGATATGTGCATAATATATTGTTTACATATTACATATATATACACAGAACTTCTTCATGTCAGCGGCATTAACGTAAACCACCGAGTTCGTGCAATAATCATAATATATAATATAACAACAATATTAATCTTATTATTATGTACTGCATTGACGATACACGCAGCGCAGGGGAACGGTTAAAATTAATGCGCCGTCGGTGTATACGAGTTACCATATATATATGCTAAGAGTGTATGCGCGCGTGTGTGTGTGTAACAGGGATGCTGATAGTTTTGGGGGTGTTTATGATTTGTAGCTTTCGGAGAAAGGGGTATATTGTAATTTTGGTAAGCGAGCGGGGGTGGTTTTTGGTCGTCGGGTGGCTGCAGTGGTGGCAACGGTGTATGGGGGGGGGGGGCGAAATTCACCAAGATAAGACACGTGCAACGGTCGTCGCTTTTACACGCTCCCACCGCGGCCGCGGCGGTGGTGGTGCGAGAAGAGGCGCAACGCAACGGCTGCTGCAGAAACAATCCCGTGAATACATAAATACACAATTAATCACTCTCTCGTTATAACTGCCGCGTTGCTCTTTCTCTCCTCCGCGAGCGAGTGGGAGAATTATACATCCCGATCGCGCTCTTTGCACCCTCCCCGCCTAATTGCAACCCCGTACACCAAAACACACGCTGAAATGGTACCAATACTAACGTTGTCGGTGGTCGTTTTTATCGAGGGTATTTTTGTTGAATCACGAAGAAAAACAAAACCCAGTTGTGGGGCGACATTCGGGTTTTTTTAGTTTTACCCGCTCATAGGATTGTGTAGGTACGGTACGGGTAAAGTCAAATTTCGCTTGGGTTAAAGAAAGGTAATGGTCGAACTGCATTCGGGTAAAAGATAGGTAATGATAGAACTACACTCGAATTAAAAGCCGGTTATCTTAGAACTGAACTCAAGTTCAAAAAGCGTCAACTCATTTCCTTTCCCACTTACAAGCTTAGGACTGACAATGATTTTAATCATTGACATGATTAAAAATGAGTTTTTGTGTATATTATATAATTATGCTAGTAAAATATACATATTACATATTGTGTAGTAAATGTGATAAATGTGTAATATTTTTTTTTAAAGTATATTTTAAACTTTTCAAATGTTTATACTATATCTATTATTTACAATTATTTTTTGTAGTTATTATAAGAAACTGATTTCAAAAATTTTAACCTGTTAATTAATTTTTGATAATATAAGTTAACATATTTTTCGATTTCGTTAATTTTTTTCTGATATCGTGTAGTTGAAAGTCTTGTGTCAGGCTTCTGCATTAAAATGTGCCTCGTTGTATGTATAATTATCTACTAAATTCTTGAACATCGTTATTTTCTGGGGTAGTTGGCATAAAATCATCTGTATAAGATTCGTTAACTTCAATTGAATTCAAAAAAACTTAAATCAAATATATTACGAAGCCGTTTTTCAATTTCTGTTTTTGATTTGTGATCAGTAACAAAACCCAAATTTTGTATTTTGCGATTAATAGAATCTACAACTGTATACGGTACATCGAAGAAATATTTAGTAGATAACATTATGAATTGCTTGTTCAAAATCAGCTACAAATAAATTTGGCTTAAATATTAATCTTAATTCATTGCACTTTTCTCAAATAGTTTTAAACATGTTTTTATACGTACCTATCTACAGTTTTATAATTATTGTGAACTGTAACCGTATGCAGTGTGAACATTTGATAAAAAAACGTTGGGCAAGTAAAAACGTGCAATCCATGTTCTTTTCACATATATATTTTAAATTTTTTTGGTTGAAATATTATAACATTGTAAGTAGAATTGTTAACCAGTAAAACATGTTCATCAATATTTGTTTTAATTTTTAATTTGTGTTTGTTGATAGTATCATGTGTGATGTGTGTCATTAAGAGTTTTTGGTAAAATCGGATAGTTTTTTCAATGTTCATGATATAATATATTATTTTATCGTATTCGATTTATGTGATAAATATTTAATAATTTTGTTAATTCTGAATTAGCGTTGACGATTTCTTCCCCAAAAATTTTTAATGATCTATAAATAGCTTGGTCAGCTACTTTTATCTTTGCTGATTTTGAAATAATTTTTGAGATAAATTACGTGGTTCTTCGTGCTTATGCATAAACTCACATCGAAAAATAACTGTAAAGGTTTCATTGAGATACAATTTTGTAGGACAACCACGATGGGTATAACTCCATTCAACACCTCCATGAGTAAGTTTATCTTTGTAAAATGTATAATTTTGGTACGCAATTAAGTGACGGTCTCGTTCACTTTTAATAATTTCTAAACTACTACATCTTTACCCAGTGAAGGAACAGCGTTAACTACACAATAGCACCTACTAGGTACTTAATTAATTGGTCTACATACTATGAAAATAAAATGTAAGTACTGTCAAATTCATATATACCGTAATAATCTAAACTCTTATTGATATCAGAGTATAGTATCTAATTTATTGTAGACTGTATTTCAAGGAAAACTAAATATTAGCTATTTTTCGAACATATCTCTTTTAGACAGTGCAATCTATAGGTACATGCAATAATACGTAATAACACACTTTCTTATAATTTCTACAAACAATAATTTCATTAAATAATATATTATACTTGGAATACCAAGTCCTATACATTTTCATTTTTTGAACCCAGGTGCTGTTTGACCATTACCTAATACTAATCCAAGTGTAGTTCGACCATTAACTTTTTTTTACCCGAATGCAGTTTGACAATTTATTAGGTAAAAAGTGCAATTCGACTATCTCCTAGGTACTTGCTACTTAAACTCGTGATCTACTCGATTGAATTTGTCCCAAATAATATAATGATGATAAATATAGTCGGTACTGGTTAGATTAATGGTTTTAAACTCAAGTGCAAGTTGTACCAGGTATAATATTTAGATCCCTTCCCTTACCTTCATATATTTATTGAAAATAATAAAGCTTGTCGTCTGTAAGGGGTGCGGGTCTCTGAGATCTTATTTTTGTTATGTTTCATTAATTATTTTGATATCATTATTTTAATATGAGATACGAACCACTATATATTATTATTAATTAGGTATTGTACATGATATCAATATCAGAACCACTACGTACTAGAGATTATATTATATCCAACCCGCTTCTACTGCTGCCACCATCGTTGTTGCGAACCGATAATTCGTTGAATGCCCTCGCCGCCTGTAAGTTCTGCAATTTTCGAAAAGAAACTTTACTCAAAGTTTTTATCGTTAACCGGACACGAGTTTAATTAAAAATAAACTTTCGCAGATTGGACCCGACCGCCGGGATGGCGCTTCACTCGGTTATAACTTATAATATTATTATATATATATGTAGCAATGTTGAATTATTATTATTTTCTGTAATCG